AAGGTTACTCTTTGAATTCTATCAGAGCACTGGTAAACTTTACAACTTGCTGTTCCTTTCTTTGTCTGAGATTTTCAAATCACTTGGGTTCGCCTTTGCTCCTCTCACCAACAGGGAGATTGTCAATGTTGTTCAGAATCGCATGTAGCAAGCCAATTGTGCCACACGCATTGCCAATCGTCTGCTTCATGAAGTACACACTGGGGTCAGGTGCTTGCCCTTCACTTGCAAGTCTCGTCTCCTCTGGAATGAGCCACACACTGGCAGTGAAATTCGAGACTCGAACCAACATCCTTATCCAAATGAAGATACACTGACTGCAACCTGAATCAGCACCTGCTGTCACATCGAGGCATACCCAGTAGAAAATCACAGTGAGCAGACTCAAGAACGCTGCTATCTGCACTTCCTTGCTACTTTCTCTGTCCCACATTAATTGTTGCCCGTGTGGAGGAAAAGTTTCATTACAAAAATGGCAACGGAATTTGAAAAAATTGGCAAACGGAACAATAGGAGGTCAGAATCGGAGAGAATGGGTTCCAAACCCCTTGACTAACAATTTTAAAGCAGGTGGTGTAGCGCTGCTGCAAAGCATGCACTTTGACAACATCAAAACAGCCGTTTTCTTGGTGGCAACAACGAAAATTCGATGTTTTTTGGCCAAAGGACCCTTGCAAAAAGTGCTTCCCGATTTGCAATACATAGCAGGACGGCTTATATTTTGACAGTATATTTCGAAGTCACGGGCATAACTTTAGACAAAGTTTCACAAAGCACTGTGGTCTCTATGATGGAGAAGTAGTGCACCGCAGTCATATGACAATTAATATGGGACAGAGGAAGCGATTGTCATTGACTCTCAAGGTGCTGTATTTGACCAATAAACAACTGCACCACACTATCGTTGTCAGCTCATGAGCCAATTCTGCAATGCAGTTTACCATCCAAAGTCCGTTGCACTGCAGAAGCAAGTAAAGTTGGTGTGAGCCATTCCAACTTTTTGTCCCAAAACTCATTATCTGTGCAGCTGCCATTTTTGGGCCATGGATTTCCTCTCTTATGGTACTCAAGAGGGCATCTTGAACACTCAGAAGCTTTGCAACCTCCAGTCACAAATTCATGGAGGTCCGATACATATACTGTGCCGCCATACATGTGCCCACAGCAGCACCCAAACAGCACAACACAACTGCAGGCATCTCTGGATACTGGCCAAGGCATCCATGCAGTTCTTTGGATATCTGGTGGTATTCGTTGGTTATCTTTGGCGATCAAGCAGCAGCCATCCCGATGATGTTGTGCTTTGGCTTGCAAGTTCCTATTGTGTCCTCATTTCCAAAGGATTCCCTCAGCTGTTGATTCAACCTAAGGAAAAATGAGCCGCTGTCGCACCCTCTTTCTTCGCCGCTTCCGACGCCTCTGTGATTGGAAACAGCAGCAGGACAGCAAGCACCGGCTGCGGCACCATCATGAGCAGCTCCTGCGCACAGCACTGCAGCCTTGTCAAGATGGGCTCAGCACGTCCTTGGAATAAATTTTCGGATGAAAGCAATCCCCACATGGGCTTGTGCGTGCATTAGTATGACCTGGATACCAGGACAAATGTAGTCACACAGGAGCGCACGACAACAGCTCGACGACCAGCGCAGTCTGCGGCGCGGAGGGCCAGCAATCGACAGCAGCGTCATCCAAATGCCGCAGGCCCACCTCATCGAAACCCAGCACGTCGTGGAAGGTAACAACGCTCGTGTCCAGCCCCAACTTGGCCACGAAATTGGCCATGACGTCGGGGTTGGCCTCCAGTGGCAGCCAGCGCTTCACCATTGTGAAAGAGGGAATGCGTGAGGGCGGCGGGTGCCAATGCAGGGTCGATGCGTTCTTCCCCGACCTGCCTTGCGGATGGAAGTAGGATGCCCACGGGGAACCTCCACAAAGACGCCCCGCTTGGAAGTTGATGCTGCGCGGCTGATTCGCGAACAATCGCAATCCGACTTGTCGCGATCCGACTTTTTTTTCATCAGCGAGAAGAGATGCAATGAAAAACAGTTGGTGATCCGCCCATTCCTGGACGGCGCCAGGGAAACGGCATCAGAATTGGCAATGCTGTTAGCTGAGCTGTGGCAGAGCCGCAGTTTCGTTCTCGATCGGCCTCGATAGCACCGTCAAGGCCCGAGTGGCCTTGATGGCCAGCTGGCACCGCTCTAGGCTCAAAAGTTCATTTTTGGACGGAAAACGAGCAAGGGGCGCACGTTGCAAAGCTGAGCAGGCAGGTGAACCAGCAGGAAAGAACCTAAGGGTACTGGCGCCTTGTTTGTTTCGCTGGACGGGTGGGTGCCTCTTCTCAGCAATGTGCTTCGTCCCGTGTCACGTGTTGCTGGCCCCGAGCCGAATGCACCCGCATTTTGAGTCATTCAGGTTCGTGCATGAATTCCATGCTCAAAAACGCCGCCAAAAATGACGTGTGCGACATAAATGTCGTTCCGCGAATGCCACCAGATTGTCATCCCAGCGGCGCCCCCCCGCACCTGGACTGTGTCCAGTACTTAACCTCTCAACGTTGCAGCGGATGCCCAAAAACGAGAATCTCAATGTCGCCTTGAGCGGGGCAAGCGACGTGGGCATAAAATTACTCCCTGCATCAAATCGGTGACCGCTTGCACGAAAACGGTGACTGCTTGCACCAAGTCACGTGCACATCATGTCCAACTCCGTCAAATCTGACCTAACCTAAAACCTAAACCCTAAAACCTAAACCTAAACCTGTCCTAACCCTAACCCTAACCCTAAAACTCACCCTGAACTAAACCTAACCCTAAAACTGAGGTTAGGACAAAGTGTGCACGTGACTTGGTGCAAGCAGTCACCGATTTGGTGCAGGCAGTAATATTATTTGAGCGACGTGCAAGTTCTGGCAACCCCACCACCCTCTAATGGTCAGACGCACTCCTAGCGATCGTAACCCGCAAGGCGATGCTTTCACGGCCTGGAGCCGCCTACAACATGGCCCGGCGTGGGTGGCGCTGTTTGCTGGCGCCCGTGAGTCGCCGCGGGCTGGCGATCGGGGAGCCATGCGTGGATCTTGAGAAGTCTTTCGCCTACTGTGTGCATCAAGTGAGGTCAGTGGCTATTGCTCGGGAAACTTGCTGGGAGGGACCTGTCGCGAAAGGTGTTGTGTGGACCTGGGAACGGCGACTGCTGCGGGTGTTGGTATCCCTCCAGACACCGGGCATGGGCAGTCAATCACAACTGTCATGCTTGCATGGTTGATGACCGAATACAACGCTGTGTTCTTGTCCACAGGACATATGATTACGAGAACTATGTGTGGTGTGTCCAGCTGGATAAGGCAAGTGTGGTCTTGCAAGGGAATTTGCCCTATCGCTTCGTCTTCCATGGGATCATTGAGGCCTTTGAAGCTAGCAGGCCGTGAGGGGGAGTTTTTTGTCCATCATATCCAATTTTGCCTCGCGTCAGTTATCGTATTGGATTGTATGCGTGAAAATGTCCCTGAAAATCCCTGCATTACTTTTGTTCAAGAAGTGACCAACACGGCCCCATGTGCAAGGCGATGTGGCCGCACACAGAATGTCCAGAATGCGATCTCAACGATTAGCAAAGTCCAAATTATCTGGCTCAAGCCGTCACATCACTAACGTGGTAATTGCTCATTTCTCACTGATGTTTTGCCTGTTATTAGTCAGTGGCCAACAGCAGTTGGCGACCACACACCAAGGGAGTGATTCATGCACATTCTGTGCATAATTTGGACGTCAAAAAATGCCCACCATAAAAAGAAGAAGACGTGTTGATGTAAAGAGGATGTTACTGGTGAGAATTACACTCTATCCCATTTAACCTGGCAATGGACAGGTGGCGGGGCACCTCATCCCTGCACCTGGGCCTGGCAGCGGTGTAGGGTCATGGTGCTGCTGTTAATGGAAAAAATAGTATCAAGACAGATTGAAACGCTTGTAATCGATACGGTCTTCATGGTGACTGCTGCAAACCCTGAGCACCAAGCCACATTTCCTGTTGTCTATCTATCCAGATTATTCTGGTTTCCAGGAGCACTGTCAGTTATTTTGCCACAAGGTTTCAACTCATCCAGTGGCTCAGCAGCTCGTTTGCATTTGTCTATCAGCCCCAAACTACTATGTCACCAGCCTGGCTCGAAGCATTCACCAAGGAGTTGCAGCATTGACATCATATCCCTCTTCCATGCCCTGTTGGGAGTGACTGGAACTTTGTCCCTGTTGCCAGGGCCACTCCTCCCCTTCTGAACGCTGAGGGCGCCCTCCTGCTGACAGGCTCTGCGGCCTGCGATCATAGCCCTGCGTGCATTCAACGCTGAAACTGCGCTCGTGTCTGAGCGTGTCCAAAAGGGCGGCTCCATGCTGCTGCAGATGCGCTTCAAGTGGTGGGAAGATGCGATCAATGCGATGTACAACGGAACACCCCCAGACCACCCTGTCATTCAGGCATTGGGCCATGTGTTAAAGAGCCGGCACTTGACAAGGTACAGGATGCGCAGAATTGTGACCACGAGGCAGAAGGATGCGCTCCAGCTGGAGGCTCCGGCAGACCTGGCCAGCCTTGAGCAGTACGCCAATGGCACTGCAGTGCAGCTGCTGCTGCTTCAGGTGAGCGGAGTGTCTGGACTTGACTTGCATGGAAAGAATGGCCAGGTTGTCACACACAACGTTGTGAAACAGAGTGGTTTTGCCAAACGTCCCTGACTGGAGGTGTCAAGACAGCATCAGACTATTGCACTCTACAATGACCTCACAGACAGGAAAATTGTGGAGAATGAACTGCAGAAAATGATGAGCCCTTTCTTCACTGCCATTGACTCTTTTTGCTGAATTCGAACTCTTGTTTTGGCAATAATGGCAATGGACAACTGTACCAGTTGCCTTTGCTGCTATGCGGAATAGCGTTCTGAGTCTGCAACGTTCCTCACCAATGCAGCTTGAAGCAAATGGAGTTGGAAACCTAGAAACGGAGAAAGCTGCTGCCCTTGTCGGCCATGCTGTTGGCATGACTAACCTGTTGAGGGGGACGATCCACCACGCACAGAGAGGCAGGGTGTACCTCCCCCGTGACCTTTGCGATCAACACCAGGTGATGCCGATCATCCTGTTATTGATATTGTGAAGGAGCCAAGTTGATGCTTGCACACAACACTTGATAATGCAGCCAAGGTCTGTGGATGCAGTGCTGATTGTAGTCTCCATCAATGGCAGCAGCTGTCGTCCATAGGTTGAGCGCCATGGGCACACATACCCGATGTACAAATCCCACGCACAATGCACCAAAAACTGTTGACAAGATTTGCTCCACTATTGGCCATGCCAACGTGACTACTATCACGGTTTACACTACTAGTATAGTGTTTTGCAGTTTTGCTTTTGATCAACTCTTAGAGGAATCGGCAGAAAGCCTTCGAGGCTTGTCTTGAAGGCACATGGCCTTGGAGGCACAAGGGCGAAGATTTCAAGCTTTGCAGATGCAATCGAAGTGATGTTCACTCTCTGCACCAAACAGACCAGCAGGGAGATGTGCAGCAATTTAATTGTCACTATTGTTCAAGTGATTGGCAGCTGAACAGATCACACTGATTTGCGTGCTTGACATGAAGGTAGGACATGATTGCCGTGGGCGTGTAGGCGACATAGTGTGGACCTTGGCATTGACAATGGTTGTATTTGAGGCAAGCTGCATGCACGCTTATGCTGGGCAACACGTTGCAGTGTTGTGCGCTTGTTGCGTGCTGGACTGTGCTGTTCAAGACAAACTGGCTGTATGCTGGCTATGCATAATGCCAGCATACTGTGGTATTCACGTGCCAACTCCCATGGATGTGGAGTCATCGTTTTGGCAGACTTTTAACCTGTGCTTTGTCCACCAGTCCACTTGACACAGAGCTGGTGTCACATTTGGAGCTGTGCAATGAACTCTATGTTAGCGCAGCCATACAGTGGTGTAAGATTGGCATCTTCTTTATCTCCGTACCCATTCTACTATCTACTGTTCTATCCTAAGCTCTTTCTTCTTTTGTCGTGTGCTCATCTGTGTCGTGGGCGTTTTTGAAAGGTGATTCATGCGGATATTCTTCGTGGCAAGGACTCTGAAGGGGTGAGGAGAGTTGCAGAAGCTGTCTCGAAAGCAGCAGAAGAAAACATCAAAAAGGTGTGGACTGTAGCCACGGTTTTGCTCTGATTCTTATCGCATTTCGGATAAACACCAGTTTCAGCTGGCGAATTGGGTCAAAAATATTACCATGTCCATTGGAGAAATGGCCGTCTCCCAACAAGCCATGTCCGAGCCATCCCCATGGTGGTCTCGGAGCTGTTTGAACATTGATCAGCAGGAGGAGCCGAAGGAAGGAGAATTTCCATTGCCAGTGATGGCATGGTCTTCCGACAAGGCTGGGTATATGAGCACACCCTTTGACGCCCTAGAAACGCTTGAAACAAGTATTGCGTATGGCTGACAACTGTATCGATATTCTCAGGAACCATTTTACACGTTTGCAAGTTCCGATTGGCTTCAATTTACTTGAAATACCTGTTCACATTATCCCAGGGTCTGGCGCTGCCCTGGATTGAACTCTGTCCTATGATGTGCTTGGTTTGTTCCGAACTGCGGCCATTATCTGTCACTCATGACATGGCACACCTAGCTGTCAGTTGGCTTCATGGCAAATCCGAAGTGGCCACTTGTGTTGTTGTTCACAAACTCCCATATTCTGAAAGCTATAGTTTCCACTCAGGTCGTTGCAATTCGATGTCACAGCATCACTCTGCGGCGCAGGCTTACAAACGTTCTCTTTATTTCCCAGGCCAGAGAGCTGATGCCCGCCATCCCTTTGGAAGCCCGGCCTCTCTTCCTGCCAGCTGTGGGCTGCGCTCTTTTCCTCTCTGCCTTGAAGGCAAGGGCATACAATGTGTTCGATCCAATGTGGACCAAAAGTGGAGTGTCGCCCCTGTGGCTGCAGCTGAACCTGAAGTACCATCTTGTAAGGGGTTCGTTCTAGCCCACTGATGCGATCGGAGATCGAACCAAACGCATGCACGGCTGTAGGGAACGGCAGGCCGATGCACCTGCTGTGGATTCGAAAGGAAAAACCTCTGATATCTCTGTGGTTACAAGTTTACCAACAATTTGCGAGGTGACCGCTCTGCGTCTATCTTCCCCCAGCCGTTCGTCACCTGCTCAGTCACGTCATCTTCCTCCCTGTGTCCCTCTGCCATGGCAATTTGCCAGCCCTGTCCCCTATATGCGCTTTGCGTCAGGATACAGCTTCATCATGGTGTGCATGGTGTCCTCCTCACTCCGTGACTTGTTCATAAGCATGCTGTCCTTGGAGTCGCGTTCCACGATGTTGACAAACTTTGCGTCCCTCATTCGGGCTCGCCCTCGCGACTGCACCCTCTCAATGCCAGTCTCAGTTGCACTGTACTTCACGACGAATTGGCAGTTCACAACATTGATCCCCTCCTCTGCAGCCCTCGTGGACACTAGAACATGCCTGCCGTCCATTTTGAACCGCTTCAGCACGTCGTTCTGCTTGTTGCCAGACATACCCCTTTGCGCATTGCCAAGTGTATCCAACAGCGCGCCTCCAGCCCTGGCCTTGGTCCTCCCGTGGCCCATGAACTCGATGGGCGTCAGGTAGTGCAGCGGCACCGTGTTGCGCATCATCTCTGCCAGGTGATACACACCCTCCCTGGTCTTGGTGAAGACGATGCCGTGAAACTTGGGCGCATTGCGGTACCTCAACAGAAACCCTGTGAGGGCCACAAAGCGAGGAAACGTTGTTACGCCGTGGCCCATCATGAACGCCATTTCAATGAACCTCTCATCCTGGAGGGGCTTCGAAGCATACAAGCCCGCCAACAATTTTTTGTAATACGAGTCCAGCCTGGCAGCTGAGCTGTGCACAAGTTTTCCAAGCTCCGTGGTTCTCTTGCCAATGAGTCTCAAACACGCCTCGAATCCAGCGTCCCTTACAAGCTCCAGTGAGTTGTTGCAACAACGCAGCAAGTCGCAACAGGCGACCCAATCCTCTCGCTGCTCTGCGGGCATGACATCATCCTTAACATTGTCCCGTATGTGCACGCCCGTCTTCTTGCACCAGTTCTCCAAGAAGTTGGAGAAGATGCCCATGTCCGCATCGATGATGCACTGCTGGTTCATTTCGGTGACGCCAGGGACCATCCCTGCACAATCCACAACAATGGTTTCACATTCACAATGCGCTGCAAAAGACCCACGATCCTTGACGAGAACAAGCCCCAGGTGTCTGAAAGTGCATTTGCTAGGAAGCACAGCAAACGAAAAAGTTGCCACTTGCAAGGGCAAGATGCAGCCCTATACCTGTACATCACGTGTTCTGGACCAAAAGAGTCATGATAACAGTACAATCTGGAGAGAACCATTGACACATGGGGTGTATTTAAGGGGGTTGCTATTGCAATGATACCATGCATCCATCGTATTGAAACATGCATTTCCTCCATCCCATATTAAATGCCCTGTAGCGTTTAACTTGCCTGCCATCTTCATTCAATAACCCCCTTTCCCAAGATTGGTCTGCCGAGTGACCTCATTAAGAATGGCCACAAGCACTCCAAGCATGACGGAACACCATCACAGTATCCAGCCACATTGGCTTTTAATGTGCCATGAAGTGCTGTCACAACAACCAAGGACAAGGACAGTGGCAAGTTGCAATTTCCCACAAGAGTTGATGCACTTGCCTGGCAGCCGCCTCATAACCTTGTTGCAACATTTCGATATGTAGCTACCGATTGTTGCAGCAAATTGGACATCTTCAAGCCTCGCATCTGTTTCAATGGTCTCCTCTTCAGCCATGGGAATGATCTTTTGGACCTCTTCGTTGTCTTCCTCAATGAAGATCACAGAGGCATGCAGAGTGTTCTTTAGTTCATCCATTTCCTCGGTTGACTTATCCTACAAGGCGGGAGAGAAGTCTTGCATATCCCATTCAGGTTATCCTGGCGCGGGACCAACCCACAGAAATGATGCTTTTTTGCTGAACGTGCCCACTATCAGAAGCGCATGGGTGATCAGGTGGGTGCAACAAATTGCGGCGAACGTTGTCATCGATCTCCCACAGTTTCCAGCAACGACTCGCCTTCTGCCTTGACACCCAATGACAATCGTATCACCTTCATATATGCTAATTCTGCCCAGCTTTCATGCCTGCATGGCAGCGAGCCAATCAACCCAACAGGACAGCCCACCCCAGCCCTCCCTACCACACCCCAACACATACGGTCAAAGAATTCGTCGATTGCCTGCCTTCTACTTTTCGCGTAGTGCTCCATAATTTTGTTGTAAGGATGATCACCGTAGCAGTGGTGGCATTCGTCCAGAATCTGCGAACAGAGAAGCAAGGCTCACGCAGTCAGTGCCGGATCCAGCACGGAAAACAACTGGTGATTGGCCACCGACAGCATTCTACTCTCGTCAATTATCCGTGTTCAGCACATCAAGCCAGCGTCTCCTTGCATTTCTTGTTGTGTTTCTTTGATATTGCCGACCTGGCCTTACTCTTGCTTGCCATGGCTTTGCCTTTTCTACATCTTTCCTTGGCTTGGAATACCACCAAAACCATCACAGATGATCACCCACCACCACCACCACTACCATACCACCATCCAGACACAGGAAACGAGAAAGCCGCATTCAACGACTTGCCCGTCCGATGCTGAAATGTGAAGCATGTACTACAAGGGGTTGATGGCGGCATGAATAGCCCCGAAAATGACACACACACCACTTGCGTTGAAAAACACGACACTTGTGTCGAAAGCCTGTTCCTGGAAGGGCGGGGACACGTCTGTGTAGATCACGCACATGCGCATTAACAACAGAATACGCTGACACAGCTATCAGAGATAGCCACAATTCACCTCCATGCACTATTGGACTACAACAGGTTGCAAGACACTGCATGCGCAGTCTCAAATCCCAGCTTTCTGCACCTTGCCACAAGCCAAACGACCGTTCTCACAAACTCATTCACCCGGTCTCACAGCATAAATGTCCATAGCTGGACCATGCCTACAACATTTGACATAGTAATTCCAGCATCATGCAAAAAGTGGCAAACACTTCAATGCAGCCTCTACACCAAATGGACACCTGCTCCACAGCATAAATGTCCATAGCTGGACCAGGCCCATCATATTTGACATATCAATTCCAGTATCACACAAAAAGTGGCAAACAATTCAATGCAGTGCATGGAATGATCCTGACATCGCCTGATGGAACAACTGTCTCCGAGCCCGAGGCAACAATCACGAGCAAGGGCATACACATGCAGCCATCCCTCAGCATCAACGCTCAAAACACAGACGATACCACAGGGTTCTCAGGCATTCACATGAAAGCGACCAGATTCTCAGGGCCACCCATCTTATAAGCAAGCAACGAAGGCTACTTCACCAGTCGACATCTTTGAACGCTCACCAGCATATCAAGCTCATTCAGACTCCCAGGGTTATTTTGATCTTCAAGGATGTTGAGTATGGTCTGGGGCGTCACCACCAGCACACTATACTGCCCCAACCGAATTTTCCACGTTTCAGGTGTGAGCTGATTGTCACTGTGGAATGCGTTCACCATGTAGCCCCACTTGTTGAAGCCCTCATTTATGAATACTGCTGCCTGTTGTGTGGCGAGAGGGACTGTTGGGCAGATGACAACGACTTTTGCAGCCTTGTTGTATTCGAGGAGGAACCTGCAGGCAATCAATCAATTAATCAGTGAGTGAGTGAGTCAGTTAATCAATTCATCAATCAATCAGATTCCCTGACTGAAACATCAACAACAAAGGCCCCACTGTCAGTATTACTATGCAAACAGAAACTCTGTTGTGCAGCTCAGAGTTACACCGGTCGCTGGATGTGGCACCCCAAAGAAAAGAAGCGCACAAGTCACCTGCAGAAGTGCTCACCTGACAATGGGCCAATTCAAGGCCAATACAGCCACAAACTGAACTCACATTTCCCCCCCAATCGCAGCACTCAAATCTGCATTTTGGCTCTCCTACATGCAAGATTTTCCCTTGGGAAATCATGCCTGCATACCATGGCTGTGAGCACTCTTCGGGTATACTGGCAGAAAGCTATCCTGCCCACTGTGCATGCACATATTGCTAAATCTCCAGCGGCAATAACTGATTTTCTATGGTGGATATACTCTGGAGACTGAAAGTTCCACACTAGCATTGTTGCGATGAGCTCCAACAGAATTTATTCATGGACACCATGAGCGCCAAACATTTAGCAATGGCACAGGCACCAGCTCCCTCAAATAAGAGCCCCAACTAACCCAATTGCACTGTTTTAGATAAACTGGCAGGCGTTCGTTGATCCTCCATTCAATGTATCAATTGAATTAATCGATAGTTCTCGATCCCGAATTTAGCAATATCTCTGCATGCATCCCCCCAAACCTTTGTGCTAACATACAGACGCAGTGGTTGCTTGTGGTACCTTGCAATGCCTTCCAATACCAATTGCTTATATTACATAGCTGCTCTTATCCATGTAAAAAGAATTGTCCTTCCCTGTATCTGCTTTTGCTCAAACATTTCAACCACACAACCTCACCTTGCTGCCTCCACAAATATCATGGTTTTCCCACTGCCAGTTGGCGCTACAATCACAAAATTTCCCCCACTTCTGATTTGGCCCACACAGTCGATCTGGTACCCACGCATCGGCCCAGATGGTTTGCAGTTCTCAATGGCCTTTGCCAGCTTGTTCAGACCCTTGCTGCTGATTTTCTTGAGAGCACTGAGATCGGCTTTCTGATCAACATCGCTTGCAGGCAGCTGCAATGGATCGCTAACAGCTGGCCCATCTCCCAATTGTCCTTGTAGTGCTGGGTAGGCTGCCTTCAATGCTGCCTCGATGTCAGCAGCAGACATTTTGGCCTGCTGAGCTGTCTGCGCAGATAAGAATGAAGTTTCAGCACTCGTTTCCAATGCACCCTTAT